GCGTGGGGCGGGGCGGCGGCCGCTGAACTCTCCCCTCGCCTCGCCCGGCCGGGCCGGGGCCCCGCTCCGGCGCCCGCGACCGCCAAGTGACAGGAACGTCTGGCTCGGCGGGCGCGGAGCTGCTTCCCGGGGGCGGATTTCTCGCTTCTTCCTCTAGATCCACCTCCTCCCACTCCACCTCCTTCCCCTCCCCTCCCCAGGGGAGGCTCCGGGCTGAATATTTTCTGTCTTGGATAATACGGTCCCCGAGCCGACCCTGTAGAAGGGGGATCAGCCGAAGGGCAGGAGGGGTGCTCGTCAGCCACCACCCCAACGTCACCGGAGACCCCGGCCCTCGCGCCCCTCGGCGCCCAAGGCAGGCGCACAAAACCCTCCCGCCCGCTGCGATCGCCGGGGCGCCGAGGAGCAGCGGCCGGGAGGGAGGCGTCTGCTGGGCAGAGACCTGGTATCGGGGCGCAGGGCAGGCGGGGACAGGGCGGTAGCTAGCTGAGTGGGATGGAGACCGGAGAGCCCAGACTGCTGGGTCGCACGGCTGGAGCGTGGCCCCTACTGCGGGAGGAGCCCGAAGCGATGTGGGACTTCCAGATAAGGGAGTGTCCTCCCACGCCCGGCCGCAGAGTATCTCCGAGGTGGGAGAAGGGGCCTGGCGGAGAAGCCTTCTTCATTCAATTTTTTTTTTTTTTTAACTTGCAGAGCCACCGAACGAATGCGGCGCGGCTGGCGGGCCTGACGGGTAGGAGCAGCTTGGCTTCAGGCTCCTACCGAGCGGCCCCAAGCACCGAGCGCAGCCACCCGCCGCTGCTGCGCCTCAGCCAGCGCCCAGGCCCGCTCCAGACCTCAGGCGGCTGGCCCTGCCCCGCGGCGCCTCACAACATCTCCCGCTGCAAATTGCCCAATCGGGAGCCGCGCTGCGAGAACACGAGCCAATCAGGGGCTGCTGACTCAGACTTCGCTCCACCCCTTGCCCCACCTCCCGGGGAAAAGCCCCTGCGCTAGGCCCGCCTTCCCATCCCGCGCCCTCGGGGAGGTGGCTTTCCGACTTGGGGCTCTGGCGCGCTCCAGTAGCCGGCTGCCGCTCCGACGTTTGTCACCTTGACACCCTCATCCTTTCCCCCTCCCATACACATGCTTCTTCCCTCTCCCAGCCTTCTGGCGCTGTTGAGGGTCATTTCTAGCCCTCTTCGGCTGGGGACTGCCAGCTAGCTATTGTGTGCGACCAGCTGCCACCCACCAATCATCCTGAGGGAAAAAAAAGAAAATCCGGGAGCTGTGTGCTGTCTTACCTTTTCCTTCATTCTTATTTCGCTATCTCCTGTAGGCTCCCGGGCCCCTCTCCCTCTCACCGCCCACCGCCTAGAATCCTGTTTCTCGTAGAGGAAAACAAAATTGTTTCCTCCAGCCGAGTAGCTGTGCCTTAGTTTTTAAATCTTCCTTACAATGGAAGGCTCCAAGCAGAGCACCTAATGTCACTCTGAGGGAGATGTTCACTAGATCCTTTTTCTATGGCTGAGGAATATGCATGTTCGTCAAAACCCCCGACCAAACCAGTCAGCTAATAACCAAAAATGGGGGTGAAAAAAAGAATGTAACAGAGAGGACCTGCCGGTCTGTTGGTACTTTACTGGATAGCATGTCCAGTTCTAGACATTGCTGGCTAAATTAACGAACTGGATGGAAGTGTAGTAGAAATGCAAGTAGCTTAACTCCAGCCAGCTTTTGAGAATGTGTCTAGAAAACAAAAAGCCTCCAGGAGCCAGTGTGCACGCCTGGAATAAACTAAGTGGCAGCCAAGGATATTTGGGGCAACATTTCTATAATGGAGTTCTTTGTGAATGTTAATTTAGAAAAAGATTTTCAGTTTGGTACAAGAGAATAAAACATTAGCCGTGAAAGGAGCTGTTAAAGGAATTAAATGTGATTTAGGCATTATGGGAAAATAGCATCACCTAGAAAGGCAACATTTCTAGAAGAGGCTGTAAACTGCATGGATCATGATTACAGTCCAGTCTCATCAAATACCGTGTAACTTAGGCCAAATTACTTACTTTTATTATAAGCTCAAGAACTACAAGTACGGACTGCGATGCCTTGTAGGCAGTACTGCCTCCTCTGAGCCTTACTCAAGCTGACCACATGGTACAACCAGTACTCAAGCCAAGGGATCTGGCTACAGAATCCGTTTTTTTGTCTATAACATAGTACTACTTCTAACATGGTCTTTACTAATAATAACAGCATTATGGTTGTATAAGTTAAATTTTAATTTACTAGATAGTAATTTTTTTGTAGTTTGTTAAGTACCAATTTAATTTTATTCCTGGGATAGGCATGATCATATTCCAAAACTTAAGAATGTTTGAGCTGGGTGTGGTGTCTCACACCTGTAATCCCAGTACTCAGGAGGATGGTGGTGAGTTTGAGACTAGCCTGAGCTGCATGGTGAGTTCAAAGCTGGCCTGAACTACATTGTGAGACCCTGCCTCAAAAAACAAAACAAAAATATATGATGTGTGAGAACCATTATAATAAGTTACTATTGTGTAAGTCTTGTGTATTACACTACCTAGATGGAGAAGTGCAAAGAACTTATTACTAAGATTTGGGAAACTGGTCCTAATCTTTCACTTTGTCCTCTAAATATGACTGCATCTTCTGTCTCTTGCTGAACTGTTAAAATCATCATTTGGGCTAATAGATGTAAAAGAGCTTTAAGAATACAAAAACATTTTTATTATTAAAATATTAGGTTATCAAGTTATCAAATATTGTTTATCAAGCTATTAAATTATTAGGAAGAAGGAATTTGTCCTATTTTACTGGCAGGAACCACAGTCTTTATAACATTTTATTAGGAACATCTTAATCCAGATAAAAGGCCTATTCCTATTTGAATCATGAGCAATAATATTATTTTAATAACTTTGAAACTCTCATTTGGAATTAGAGTAAGCCAAAGCAAGTAGGGCACCCTCTAGTCATCTGGAAAGTGGCAACCAGTGACCAGCCTTGACCCATTCCCAGGGCCAGTGGTGTGATGATGGGTGGAGGACACAAGCCCCTGGAATTCTCAGTTGCCCATCTTGGCCATTTCACTCAATAACACCTCCACCAGAGGGAGGGCAAGGGAAAGGAAAAAGGGCCAAACTTGAATCCTATGGCTACAGGCTAACATCTTCAGTGAGAGATTTGGTGGAGTAAGGGTTTAAGGTCATTGTAAGAAGAGATTAGAATGATCTATAAATTTCATGGTTGATATCTTACCAGTTTTCTTTATCCCAAATATTGTGGGTAAGCAAGAGCTAACTGTGATTTTAGAAAGCCTGATATATTTCTCCTTAGGTCATAGATAATACATGCAATTCCTATCATCTAATTTCTTCTTGGGGTGTCCCTTGAAATAGTCTCAGAAATTACCATAACTATATTAATAACAACTTCCAGACCAACTCGTACACTATAATTCTTGCAATGCATGCAGGACATTTTTAAAGATGGGAATTATGTCCTCAAAACAAGTTTTGCCTTTGCTAATGGCATAATAATACAGTTTTAAAGAACCATTCTTTAAAAAAAAGTCACAGCCAAAAATAGAATTACAGTGTCCCAGACCCTGGTCTGAGGTTCTTCTGTGATAATCTATGGATGGTTTCTACTCCGAATATAGCATCTGGCAATTCTAGGAGGCACAAGTGTTTGCCAGTGAATTCCACAAGTGAAATTTGTAATTTTGGATGAAGCATTTGTAAACTATATGCCTGAGGTATTTAAGACTAATAATCTTCAGAGGAACAAGCATTTTTTTTTTTTTTTGGCTTTAGAAAAGCATTATGAACTTTATTTTTATCCTTACAATTCCAAAACTAGGTGCATTATCTACTAATATTTTGTCAAAAACATTTTCATGTTGAACTGAGTAACTACAGTAATCCTACCTCACTTGTAAGGCAAAGAACTATTGTTCTCAGGAGTTGAGAGCAATTCTCCATGATAAAGTTTCAAGATTCTTCTTCCCTCATCACCCCTTTTAAATAATGTAAGTCATTTGCTAATCTAATATTCTGCATTTGCTAAGTATATGACTTATACCTTTTCAAAAGATTATTACGTTTGATTACTAATTCCTAAACTTGAGTAATGACACTATTTATTATATACAGTGCCTTATAAAGTGCCACACGATAGTTTTTAATAATTTCTTTGCCCTTAGCTGATTATCTTTTTTATCTTGGAACTAGATGTTATTATTTATTTTTAGTTTTGATTTGCTTATTTACTGGGTGCCATTAATGAGTTACTTAATTATAAACAACTTTATATTATTACTTAACTGAATATTATTTCCTTTTCTGTCTAAATTATAAATTTCTCAAAGGCAGATTCTTGGGGCTTTTACTTGTCAGAGCCCCATAGTACCTACCACACCTTTTACACATTAAAAAGTATCTCAAAGTTATTTGAAAAATAAATGACATTTGTGTCACTACAGTTACTTATTACTTGCTAGGCTGGGGTTTGAACCCAGGGCCTCACATATATCAGGCAAATGCTCCACTGCTGAGCTATACTCAGCCTCCGTGCCACTTTTATTTTTCTTGAGGTACTGAGGATAGAACCCATGGCTTCACACGTGCTGCTCAAGCACTCTACCACTGAGCTACATCCCCAACTGTTTTTATTTTGGGATAAGATCTCATTAAGTTGCCTAAGCTGGCCTCAAACTTCATCCTTCTGCCCTGTTTCCCAAGTAGCTAGGATTATAAGCATACATTATAGTAGCCGCTCCTCCTATATCACTATTTTTTTTTTTTAAACAGAACTGGGGATTGAACTCAGGCCCTTGCACTTGCCAGGGAAGCACTTATTCCACTGAACCATCTCCCCAGCCCCAAATTATTATTTTTTTTATTCTGTTTTTTTTATATATATCACTATTATTGATAAATATTTATACTTCAACGGGCTGGAGAGATGGCTCAGTGGTCTAAAGCACCTACTTGAAACAAGCTTGGCAAAGCACAGGGACCGCGGTTCAATCCCCCAGCCCCACATGCCAGCCAGCCCCACCCCCTGGTGGACTGAGCTGGCCACACACACACACACAATAAATAAATGTAATAAATAAAAATAAATAAATATTTTTAAAAAATATTTATACTTCAAGATATTCCTGGCTGACCAATACCTACTCAGGTTATAAAGAACACGTGCACGTCCTTACGTGAATATGCCTGGATGGATGGCTTAAGTTATAAGAAGTTTTCTTCCATGAAGAAAACACGGTATATGCTCTTCAATCTCCAGAAATGCCCTGCTTTATCTTCTTGCTACTCTTTGGTGCCAGAGCTGGTGTCTTGGCCAGAACACACCCTTAAATTACTATTACTTGATATCACTTGCCCAGCATGGTGGTGCATGTCTATAATCCCAGCACTCAGGAGGTAGAGACAGGAGGATTGCCATGAGTTCAAGGCCAGTCTAGGGTACATTGTGAAACCCTGTCTCAAAAAACAAAAAACACTTACATTTTGACAGTAATTATAAAGCTTTGGCCTCTGTGACCCACATGCTAGAGAAGCAATATTTTCTTTTGAATTCAAACTATTTTTAGTGCTAGAATCCCCATAACCTAAAGCCTATTGGTATAATGGTTATATTCATGACTACAGAGCTTATCTCTACATTTTAGGGGAAACATAAGACTAAATCACTCATGTACAATTTTTTATTTTATCTTAAGAATTGTGACTTTCATTCATAAATATTCTAATTTTTGT